TATATATATATGTATATATATAAAGAAGGTAAAAGAAAATATGTATAAGCAGATTTTACACATTAATTTGCATTTGCTCTTTTTTTCAAAAATTCTATTTTTTAAAAATAGTGTTGTATCACTATGTAAAATAATATATTGTACAAGAATTTATTGATGTATGTACGAATGTTATACTATAAATGTAAATGTGAACTTTACAAATGATTAAAGTATTGCATAATGAACGCATTTTGTTATAATTTTATTACAAGACTGTTTTAATATATTTTATTACAATTTTATTACAAGATTGATTTTTCAAGCTTCTGTCTTTTTCGCGTGCTGAAACAAGACACCAAGCCAAGTTCCGATATCATGTTAGATGGAGAGAAAAGTATCGGCTATACTTAATTCCTTCAAGTGAAACACACGATGCATCTTTCGTCTATATTAGATCGTGTGAGAGCTAATAAATTGCTAGAAATGCGCATGGCATTTCTATTAACTTACGTTGATTTGTTGATTGTCATCTACCTTTCATACTCTAGCATTTCAAATCGCACGAATATTAGTAAATCAAAATCACGTATTCTTGCTGGTTTGTCACGAAAAGTTATATAATGCCGTACTTTAGGTATATTTTATTATAAAAATAACATTAAAAATAATTTTTAAAATTTCATTAAAAATAATTGTTTAAATTTTTAATTTGAAAATAATATCTAATTATGAGATAATATAACTTCTGTCTAAGGAAGCTCTTTCGTTTCTCTCTGCATCTCTGTTATACAGAAAGAATAGTTTTTATTTAAATAAAATTATATCGATAAGGGCTGTACGAGCCAAAAGAAAGTTTTACTTAAAAATTTATTGTAGTTAGATGCAGATTTGAAAATAGTTTTGTTAGACATCAAAACAATCAGAAAGCGAAATCGATCTTTCTGCATATATAAGTATATCACTGTATCATCGCTTCAAGTTAAACGCTCTGATATTTTGTAATACTTTGTATTACGGTAATTTGTAATCGACTTGCTTCGTATTATGCATAATGTGTTATGCGCGTTATGTGGTCACGTATTACGCGTAGCGCGAGCTGTTTGACAAAAAGATCCATTTCCGGTAACTGATCTCGTACATGGCGCGGCGCGGTTCGACGTTTGCGAATAACGTTTATTGATTCTATGCCGTGAAAGTTTTACTCGCACGTTTTACAAGTTCAACGAAATCGAGCCCCTTCGCAGAAGTCCAAATGTGCCGTCATGTGTGCTCGCGCGAGTCACGTGGCGATCATCGTCACGACTGGATCTTTTCGTGAGCTTGAGATAATACGGTTTCGGCGACATAGTAAAACCGTCGTAACCGTTCAGGTTCGGTTTGCTGTGCTCGGCTGAGATCTCTATGTCGAAGTAATGCACGACGTAGGTAAAGAACAGGAACAACGTGGAGCGTGCCAGCTGCTCGCCCAGACAGCGCCTCTTGCCTGAAATGGGAACAATTGCCCGCATTCCCGCAATTAGTTCCAAACAATGACGAATTGATTATCTTTCGCATACCTTCGCGAAGGTTGAAAAATTTGCGTAATATAAAGAGAGAGAAAGACAGACCGAGAGAGAGAGAGAGAGAGAGAGAGAGAGAGAGAGAGAGAGAGAGAAAGTAATTGGAATAGAAATGACATTTGCGTGAATAATGATTGCGAAAGTGGGACATTAACGGCTACATTTCGACGAGTTGATTGCGTCTCTTGTAGCTTCCTTTATTGAAATTTACCTAAACCGAAAGGCAAACCGTAGTTGTTCCGACGGAATTGTCCCTGCTCGTCTAGAAATCGTTGCGGTCGGAATTCGTTCGGTTGTTCCCAGTACGCCTTGTCGTTGTGAGCACTATGATAGTCAAAGAGAATAATCGTATCCTGCAAAATAACGGTATATTGTTGTTTAGGCGCATAATAAAACAGTTTTAAATGCAATGATTTATCGGTGATTAAATGATTTATCGGTAATTAATCGACAAACTTTGATATACACGCACATATTTTATTTCATTTTCTTATGGATGAATTTAAAAAAATCGATAAAAGTATGAAGTGTGTACATAATTTATTTTAGAAATAAATATATTAGAGAGAGAGAGAGAGAGAGAGAGAGAGAGAGAGAGAGAGAGAGAGAGAGAGGGAGAGAAGGACACTTTAGAAATATTAATTCCTATTTATCGAAACTTGTTAGTGTATCTATAATTAAAGACACCCATTACCTTGGGAATTCGATAACCATTTAAAAAAACATCCTTTGCGGTTGTGTGAGGTACGCCGAGTGGAGCCAAAGTCAGATATCTTTGTGCCTACAGTAAATATATCAATTTTACTTATATCGTTTACGTTATTACTATGATAATATGGAGTTTGTGCAGTAACGTAGATTCAGATACAGTGAACGCTAAAGTCACGTTATTCTTTTTTTAATTAGTTGTTAAAAAGAAGATAACGTGACCTTAGCGTTCACGACTGTATCTGAATCTACGTTAAATAAATAGTATTGCAAAAATTTTCCCTATTATCTTATTTAAACACTATTGATATTATTGTTTTCTCAATTATTATTATCTATTTTTATCGATGATTCTATGTTTTGTTAGAGTATTTAATAATTTGATTTAAACTTATTATATTTATTATAGATATTATAGATATTATATATAATAAATACGTTAATTGAATCACAAAAACAATTATTTTTTATCAGTGAAAAATGTAAAAAAGCCTATCAGAGCCTACATCAGCTATTCGGATGCACAAAATTTCTGTACTTTTCATGTGAATGTAATAAAATATACGTTTCAACCCTTCAATTCGGATGCCAAATTAGCTATGTAATAATTAGCCCAATGATTATCATAATTATTACATTATGCAATAATATTATAAAACTTACATAAAGTAAAACTGAAGATTTGCTGTATAGTCATTCAAATTTTCATTTCGTATTTCTTTTGAATGACTATACAGCAAATCTGACAATTTGATGAGCGATGAGATTCTACGTAGTGACGCAATGCATATAACTTGGCATTTGGATAAAGAAGAACGAACTAATTGTCGGGAATCATCAACTTGGAATTTGCGTTAATTATGTAATTTCGATTTATATTTTATATTGATAAGGATCCGAATTGAAGGGTATATTTTATTTGTTTTATTACATTTACACGAAAAATAAAGAATTTTTGTGCATCCGAATAGCTGATGTAGGTTCTGATGGGCTTTTTTACATTTTTCACTGATAGATTTTTTCGAGCCTCATTATATATATTTGTTTAATTATTTTTTAATGATTATTATATTCTTTCTGACCGTTTAAATTATTATTGAAATCAAATAAATTATTTTTTTTTTAGAAAAAACTCTAATTTAATAATTTTTTAAAAATACTCTGAAATGTTTAAAACATCTTAATAACACATATTGTTACAACGAGATTTTTCTTGAAAATATTAACTCGAATAATTATATACTTCGTTGTGACAGGTTTGTACATAATAGTCTCTATTTTCTATAGTTTATATTTCTCTTTCTTACATTACCTCAGCTAAGAAAGCTTCCGTTATTGGCAAGGATGGTAAATCATCCTCAGTTGGAGCTCGTGACCTACCAACGATACTATCCAACTCAGCCTGAAGTATTTTCAACCATTCGGGATTCAGTGATAGGAAGAGAAATATATTCGCTAAAGTGTCACTAGTCGTCTTTGACCCGGCCAAGAAAAGATCAAGGCACAGTATCAATAAATTCTCACCTGCGGTGTGAAACATGCAGCACACGTGTGTCAACAGTAATTTATTATTTACCTCTTATTTCGTCATTACGTCGCCGTACAACGTGCAAATTTACTTATTAATTTGAGAGAAGAAAAATATTTAACACGATTGTATGCTCTTTTTATATTTATAGTTTCAATTATTGTTAGAAAATACAGGCATAATTTCGAAAAGATTCGTCTTTGCAAAAGTAAATTTGCAAAAGTATCTCGGACAACTTCATTAATCAATACAAGGAAATGTTTCGGAATAAATAAAATTTAGTATATATAAATCAGATAAGATTATTAATTTAATTTAGGCAAGAGAGCTCCTCTAGTTTAGGTAAGTTCGACATTGTACGGTGTATTAACAGTTAACTTACGATCAAAAATCGTATCTTCATTCTCATCGCGTTTACAAATCTCCAAAAGAAACGCATCAATCAAATCACGTGGCGGATCATTGGATAGCTCCCGCTCGTGTATCTTAATCTCCTCCTCCAGAAAGCGCCACAGATTCTCTAGAATCTCCATCAGCTCTTCGTATCCTGATAGTTTCGGGATCACGAAACGTAGAAAAGGCATCTGTGAAACCACTCCACCCATGGTATCCATTAATCTAATGTAAAATATAAAAAATGATATTTAATTTTACAAAAATAATTATCTGCAGTATCTTATTGAGTTTTGTTAAACAATAAGAACTCTTATCAGGATTTACTTGAAGGCATCGTGAACCAACGTAAGCGCTTCTTGTAGCTTTTGGTCCTCGTACTTGAATTTGTGCCCAGCGATCATGAACCACAGCGAATTGATCACCGCGACATCGAAAGCAGTATGCATCGTCACCGCGCCACTCTCGCTCATTTGTTGCAGATGATCAATGAGATTTTGAGCCTCCAAAACCAATTGTTCTTTCATAACTGACTGACCTATACCGAACGTCCGCAGATGCCGCATCGTAAATCTACGAGTCCGTGCCCACATGGTGCCCTCAGTGAACAGAACACCTTGAATAATAAACGCCGCTTGAATAACGGAACTGAATGACAGATACCAAAGACTTTATTTTTTGTGTGTCAAATTGTTGTTAAAACAGTAGATAACTTTCAAAATTTTTGCCATATTAATTTTAAACGTTAGGAATTAATTTCGTTTACTACATACATATACATATCTGCGTACCCTTTCTCTTCCCGAGCGATCGTATTCTAAAGAAAAATCCATCCGGCCGGCTGTTGAATTCATCTTGAAGAAGAGCCTTCTTCACCAAATCGTACGTTGAAATCACCACCACCTTTTGAACTCCAAGCTTTAATCCTATTACAGGTCCATATGTACGCTCCAGGTCTTGCATAGCTAGATAAATGTATCCAAGTTTCGAGCGTAGCCATGCGAACTTCAGAAAACATCCGAATAATGGAATCCACAATGGGCCTATATAGGGCCCAAATATTTGACACAGAGTGTTACATAATCAAAGATATTAATATAAAGTCTTTGATAGTTTTGCTCAACAAAAATATAAAAGATCATTACGTATATCTCGTTACTTGTCAAATGTTAATGTTGAGCCGTTAATTGAATTTTTAAATCTAGAGGAATATTTTACCCCACAAAGAAAATCCCTAAAGAAAACACTAAAACAGTTGCAAATTAAACATTCTGCTGAACGCGATCATTATTAGAGACTGTTGTATTTAAACTTTAAATTATAATTTTTATAAAATAAAATAAAATTGATTTTAATAATTGCCTGAGATTTGAGTGCATCAGATATCAATTTTAACACATCATATGTATGATTATAATAATCATTATCTTCCCCTATGTCACGAGAAAATATTGAATGATAAACTGAGTATTTAATAATATCTTTATTGATATATATGACATTAAAGATAAATCTTTAGATTAATTAAAAAATAAAAAAATTTGATGATAAATTTATCTCGTAAATTTATCTCGGAAATAAATTCCATTTAAGAAGAAAAAGTGATGTCATCTGATAAAATTGTGTGAATTCTAGAAATAAATTAAATCTTTAAAACTCTATACGCTCTTCAAGGTCCTATAACTTTCTCTCGAAAGATCGGCTTTCTGAATTAGATACTTTCAGAGAAATTAACTTGTAATGTCTATGGCAAGACATCTTTTAATCTATTAGCATCTCTTTACAGCGTGAAATATTATACTTTACAGCGTCAAATATATATATGATAACCAGAAAAATGCAGTAATCGTGTGAACATTTAGGCACTAATTGCTCGTAAATTGAACACTTTGCGAGTGTTACATTATTATTGATTTTTGCGCTTCACTTACCAGGTGGATAATTTCTCGGTTTAATGCAATCACAGATGCAGTAGAGGCAAACGAAGATGAAGAGAAAAATAATCGTCAAACACAGCATATTCTAAGATGCATTACTTGGTAACTTCTACAATAGTTTATATAGACCTGTGCTCTTTATACGTATACATATGGTGTGTGTATGTGTGTGTGTATATATATATATATATATACATACGTAACAAAGCGAGCGTATAAGCTGCTAGTCATAACAATTCTTATCAGGACAACACCTTACGACCCGAAACAAAAATACCGTTCTCTGACTGCCATTTTAGCGTATGTATCCTGGAATCTAGGTACTGAAACGTGACAAAATGTTTCTTTATAATTTAACTGAGATATTTTTGACATATAATATTAAATAAATTTAGCGTTGATAGCTAAAATTCATACTTCTAATTGCATTAACATGAAAGTTTTTTTTTTTTTTAATGATATCTCAGGTAAAAATATTAATTTTTCGAATTTAAACTACGTGCGTTAACTATTTTTTTATCGTAATATCGAAAGTTAACTGATCAAGACACAATCGAGAACGTTACTGTGATGAAATTAAGTTAATTAGTAAGTTTGGAACGTTTCCTTTGGTAAGAGGAGAAAACGAATCCAGACTAATTCATTTAGAAATAATAAGGTTGCCAAGTGATATCCTTGATTATAATTTCTGGTGAAAATCAAGTCGAGGTGACGCGGATAGCACATTGTTCTCTCTCGTGAGAAATATGCGATACCTAGAAATTATTATTTCTATTATGTTGCAAAATATCTGTTATCACGGTAATCGGCCATCGCGCTTACAGATCTCAATTTGCATATGAATGCACAAAACAACTAAGAAAAGAGTGAATTGGCCTTGAGTATATTTGCCTAACTGTTTGTTATTAGAGTTAGGTATGTAGAGTCCTTTATAAAGAGAGAAGCTTCCACTATCGAAATTAATTCCAAACTCATTAAATGCAAAAATAAGAATAACAGAAAGTAGATAATCGTGAGGTGTGTTTTACCTCGATCGAGCCTTCAATATGATGATGTTTAGCATTTTTTTACGAGATATGTATACATATGTATCTCCACTGCGGGCTCAATATATGGCTGCATTAATTAGGCAGGGGCATTATCAATCAGAAATTGCGACGTCAAAGTAGCTTCTCTCTTTCTATAGAACTCTATTTGTTATGCTTTGAGAAAAGTCAAGCAACGTTACAACTACAAAAGAATACAGCTATAAATTCCAAGAGAAGCGCCTTAATTATGCGCATATTCCGCATTTACTACGCTATTATAAGCGCAGAAACTAGTAATGAAACATCGAGCCCGTGAAAGCCCTCGAATATATAAATCTTTTGGAAATTTCTGTAAAATAAAACTTCCGTAAAAGAAGATGACAGCAGATGACGTTGCGTGACTCCCACGAATTTCGTAAGCGCGCGAAGATCTGTCGGATGAGAGTCACACAACGTCAGACGAAAGTGAAAACTACTTCCTGTCTGTCATATCAAGGAAACGACATACAGGAAAACGTATCACGATTTCTCTAAAATTCTCTTCTCTTCTTTTCTTTCCTTTTTTCTTTTTTATTATCTCGTTTATCGCGCGATTGGAGAAAAAAATCTTCCGTAGTTGACGCCAGTGAAATCCTATCGTCATCGTCATCAATCGAGCAGAGTCTGCGTCGAGCAATATGGTGCGGCCGTACCGGGGACAGCACGGTGGCATGGATTAATTTATATCGTTGTGTGGGTGCACGGATACTTTCTCCACGGTCGAGGTCTTCTACATGCTGGTCGCCTCTGCCTTCCATAACAGACTTCACTTTCTCCAATTTCGCAGGAATACGTGCGCGTATTCACGTTGCATCATCTTCGCTTCATAAGTTCGGGATGATGGCGATTTGCTTTGGAATTGGAGTGACCGTTTAGATAGGTTATTTTTGAGGAAACGGTTATCATAACGATATAATATAAAGCTCTCGGCTTCGGTTTTTCTTTCCGATATATGATATAAAAGAGAGAAGAAAGTCAGCGTTTAGTTAATCGACTGTGAAAAGGGGAACTATATATTTTAGAGTTGTCGTTATTTCTAAAATAAAAAATAATTGATTCGTTTACCATTATTGTCAGCATTTGTTTCGTTATATAGCAGCATATTTCTTTTCTAAATGTTTCATTAAATTTATTAAGTTATTATATTTCAAAACTTTTATTATTTACGAGAGATAGACGTATTAGGGAATTTTTGCAATAACGTGGATTCAGATACGGTAAACGCTAAACTCACGTTATCCTTTTTTTTAAATTAGTTTTAATTAGTTTTATTAATTGTTATTGTTAAGAAGAAGGTAAACGTGACCTTAGCGTCTACCGTATCTGGATAAACGATATTGCAGAAACTTCTTATTATTTACATATAGTTTGTTTCATGTAAAGTAATTTTAGATAATGTTTCTTATATCGTTCAATTATCCCTCTTGGCATGCAATTTGTTCACGTTTATCCTGTTTACTATGTGTGTTTCCGTAATCAATGAAATTATATGAAATAATAAAGTTGGATATGTAAGATATAGGTGCTTTCTCCCATTCAATGATAATTTGTTGTACTTCTTTCTAGAAATCTATAATAAAATAGAAAATTAAGTCTAAAGTTTCGTATTTGTGACAACAATAAGAAAAATAAGACAATAGGAACAAATAGTTAATAAATATAATGTTTATTTAATTATATTATTAGCAAAAAAATGACTAAATAACTTTTAGAAAGCAAATGTCTAGATTTAACTTGTCTAGATTTAAAAGTCAATTATATACTCTTACTGCACAATGAATATTCAATTGTATTTATACTGAACGCATTTAATATTTTAAACATTTTTTTTTCGTTGAATCTATTCGATGTACAGATTTCCGTACATCTAAAAAATAAAAATGTGCATATAATTTTTCTTTCTATTATTAAAAATAAAATTTTGTAAATTCCATTCTTGCTATGTATATCTGATTTATCTTTTCTATTATCACATATTAAATAAACAAGTAAAAGTTGTATTACTGTTCTTGTAAAAACATACTTGAAGACTAAGGGTGAAATAACAATAGTCAAAAAATTAACAAAATACTTATAAACTTTATTTGTAACAGTATTAGTTAACAATTGGAGAGACAACAACATGTATAAAAAAAGAAAACAAGGAAAGGGAAAGAAGGTTACGACATTTCTAGGTAAAGGAGGTATCCCGAAAGACAGGGAGCGCGTCAGTCAAACAATTTCGAGCAACTTAAGTTTTACGCGAGCTTATATTAATCCTAAGATGTAGTATATACAGCGGCTTATGTTACAGCATTCTCCTGTGGAGATGTTTGTACAAGCATTTTTTTGTGGATTACAGTGCGATTATTCTGCACGGAAATCTAGCTCTGTCAACGGCTAGGGAACGCAAAGTTGGCTTGACCTCCGTTTTGATTAGCGGATGGTGGTACTAAATCCTGCGTGATCGTCGGCGAACCTGCTTGGAAAGAATGAGAACTGTCCCATTTGCCTTTGTTATTGTCCACTTTACGTTGCTGTAGCTGATGTTGCCGTGGCTGCGCTTGTTGTTGCTGTGTTTGCTTATTCTGTTGGACACCTTTCTCGGAACTATAAGGCACAATTTGAGTGTTCTGAGCCTGTGTGTCTTTACGGTCCCAACCGTGATGATGATGATGGTCTTCATTGGGGAACCACTCGGATATCCAAACTGGTTTCCATATCTTTTTCCACGCTGGTACCCAGATTTCCTTCCAAGCAGGCACCCAAATTTGCTTCCATGCTTCCTTCCAAGCGAGCTTTTTGTCGGGAATCCATTCTAGTTTTTTCTCACTCTTCCAGATTTGCTTCCAAGCCTCCTTCCACTCGAGTTTCTTGTCAGGGACCCAGATGAGTTTTTTGGCCGGCTTCCAGATCTGTTTCCAAGCTTCTTTCCAGGCCAGTTTTTTATCTTCTACCCAGATTTGTTTCTTCGCTGATTTCCAAACTTGTTTCCAAGCCTCTTTCCACTCAAGCTTCTTATCCGAGACCCAGATCTGTTTTTTCGCCGATTTCCAATATTTCTTCCACACTGGCTTCCAGATCAACTTCTTCTTCCAAAGATCATGGCTGGTGTATTGCCATCCATGATGATCCGTGCCGTGGAAGTGTTCACCCGGTATGCCAATTTTCACCCATTCGGGAACCCAAAGTTTTTTCCAAGCGGGAACTTGAATCTCTTTCCACACTGGTACCTGAATCTCTTTCCAAACGGGCTTCCAAATCTTTTTCCACGCGGGTACTTGGATTTCCTTCCAAGCGGGTACCTTGATTGGCTGCCAAATTGGCTTCCAGATTTTTTTCCAAGCCGGCACCTGTATTTCTTTCCACACCGGAACTTGAATCTCTTTCCACACAGGCTTCCAGATCTTCTTCCAAGCTGGTACTTGAATTTCCTTCCACACCGCTTTCTGAGTTGGTACCCAAATAGGCTTCCAGATTTTCTTCCATGCAGGTTTCCAGATTTGTTTTTTTGCCGGTTTCCAGATCTTCTTCCAGCCCGGCTTCCAGATTAGTTTCTTCTTCCAGTAGCCTTTGTCATGATGATCGTCATGGCCGCCATGATGGTCTTCGATTCCTCCACCGCCACCTCCAAAATCACCTCCACCTAGATGACCACCGATGTCACCTCCGTGACCACCAATGTCACCCCCGCCTATGTGACCTCCATGACCACCAATGTCACCGCCGCCTATGTGACCTCCGATGTCACCACCTCCAAAGTGACCGCCGACATCGCCACCGCCAAAATGACTAATTGCATTAACATGAAAGTTATGACCGCCACCGTCACCACCTCCAAAATGACCGCCGCCATCGCCGCCTCCAAAATGACCGCCGCCATTGCCACCTCCAAAATGACCGCCGACGTCGCCGCCGCCACCGAAGTGACCACCAATATCGCCACCCCCATAACCACTGCTGCCATAATTACCAATGTCGCCTCCCCATCGTTTTTGCGCATCAGTACCGTACCTGCGACATTCAGTATCAAAAACGTAACAAATTTTATATTCATATTTATTATCTTTATTTTCTTTCATATGCAAAAGCCTTTCAAAATT